CCACTGCGACCCTGAATGGGATGAAGTGGTCAGAAAATGGCTGGATGGATGATTATGACAATGATGATGACTGGGTGTTTGACACAAGCCTATTCAGTTTCAGTGCCTCTTGGAATCCAGTCAGATAAAATCCAGGTGACATCAGGGCAACATTTGCACTCTTAAGGCTTTTTTATTTCTTGTAATATTAATAGAGTTAAACTGTATTTTCACTAGCTGAAGTGTCTTTAATTGGATTGGCTGTGAGCTGCAAGGATAGGGTCACTGTTAATGAAGATGCCCCTCCACACATCAACCTGTTCAAGAACCAGGACTGAAATCAGCAGTTAAGCAACCCGACAGGAACTGGAACTGCAAATATGTTCTTATTGCAATCAGTTAATGCAACAGCAGAGTGTGCGTAGTATACTGTACTGTATACACATTAGCAGTGCTTATATTGGGGATGTTTTTTCCTACTTTAGGATGCATACTGGAGAAAAAAAATCTCCTCTGGCAGAGAGCTGAAGCAGATCTCAGAACTCAAAGCTTTGCTTTGGCAAGAGACCCACATGTGTCACGTCATTTTGCAGATGATCCCATGCAGAGTATGATAGCGAGGATGGTTTTTGATCCTTTGACGTCGGCTCTGCCTATCATCGCAAAACAGAGTCCACCAAGCATTGACTGTTCACCCACTAATAGGGAGCATGAGCTGGGTTTAGACCATCATGAGGCAGGATAGCTTCGCCCTACGGATGATGTGCTGTTGCACTTGTAATCCTGGTTGGTATGAGAGGAACCGCAGGTGTCTGTGCTTGGCTGAGGAGCCAGTAGTGTGAAGCTGCCATTGGTGGGAATAACACCGAACACCTCTAAATCACAATCCCTCATAAAAGGTGGCCAGTGGTCCATCTCTGTGGCCCAGGCTACCTTGATTGCACTTTCAACACTTCACTTTTCCTAAGAAACTCAGAGCAGGAGGTCAGGAGCAGGTCTTTGACAATTAAGGCCTTTACACAGCCGCCGCCCACAGACAGCCCACATACAGTACAATTGCAAGCTGGTCATTTTTGCCACCACGCCTACACTACTCAACTGAAAGGGCATCAGGTTGATCAAAATGGTGGGTTCTGTTTAAATTATCCAGAGAAATTATCCAGATCGTTATTGGATTAGGATATCCTGCAGGTTCACATACTGTATGGCTGGATAGACCTTCAGCATCTTCAGAAAGTAAAATGCTGAGACCATCACCCAGAATAAATCAAACCTTTGATTGCCCCGTATCAAACATTAGACACTCAGAGCTCCGTGCTAGAGTATTAGCACACATACAGTAGGTTTATTACTCGGTATCAGCTCACATGTGTCACCCTAGAAGAGGTCAGTTAATGAGCTGCCTAGGAGTTAGGGGTAACCTGATTTATTTTCTAAAGGATGCCTCCTTCTTCTTCTTCTTCTCAGTGTAGCATCTGGACAGTTTAGCAGCTCTGCAGTCATTGTCCTGTTCATTTGTTCATTTGACTTTCAGTTCTCCATCTTGTATTGTAGAAGGAAATCAACATGTTTGCAGTAATGATACACAGAGAGGAGCTCAGGAATGTATCAACCAAACACGAAGAGGAAAACTGGTTTAATAATTAATAATAATTATTTGTATTTCTTTTTATTGTACTTTTCATCACCAAAGTGTTTTACATACAGGAGGAGACCCACTTCAGCCATATGCAGCACCAGCCAGATCACACACTACAACCAATCTATTCCAGCAGAGTCTACACAGCAGACCGGGTGCCGATGTGGGAATTTATTTTTATTAAAGGGATACCTTTATAATGTTATCCCTTTAATAAATGGAGCATACAGTACTTGTAGCCGATTGAAGCTCAGAGTGAAATTTAGCTAGGATACCAGGGTTAACACCCATATTACTATGGTAAATGCCCAGTGTTTTTTAGTGCCAAGAAGCCAGGAACTCCACTTAATGTCTTACCTAAAGGATGGCCCAGCACAATGTTCCCAACAACTCTGCTGGGATAGAGATTTTGGAAATTCTAGCTCCAAGAGAACATAGTCACCTACTTGTCCACCAACGCACTCTTACTTGTTGGTTCTCCATCTTAGTACTGACCAGACCCACCCTGGCTTGATTCTAAGATCTGAGAAGATCAGGCTGTAGGTGATAATACTGTTGCCTACCTGAATGAGTCCAGCAGGAGCAGGCATGTTTGCATTGTGGAAATATAAAAGACCCTGTTTTTCTGTAACATAACTCTTAGAAGTTGTGTCTGAAAACTAGAAGAATTTCAAAGAATGTAGAATGTACTGTGGTGATGTCACCAAACTTTGACCGGAGATTCACTCAATCTGTCCATATTTGTACTATGAAATTTCTTTTAGATAATTAATCATCTGCACATTAATCCTGTTCTAGTTCTTTGCACATTGCACTCTTTAGGCATTAATCATATAATGAATCAAAAAATTAAGAAAATATTAATAGGAAGAGGTCAAAATGAGACAATATCAGACCACAACTATTTAATTTCTCTGCAAATTTTAATTCCTTTCTCCCATTATCTTTTTTAATACTGCACATATTCAACAAATGCTGCAATTAATAAGGAGGTTGTACATGTGTTTATGAAGAACATAACAGAAGTTACATAAGAGTCAAAGCAATTCAGCCCTATCTCATTCATTTAGTTGCCAGTATCCAAAAACCACATTAAGCCTTTTCTTTAATGAACAACACTGTGCAGAGGAAGAACACTCTCTATGTTCTTCCTTATTCACAGGTCATATACTGTATCATGTCATGGCTTAGATTAAAGACAAGCAACCAAATTTTACAAACTTCATATTTGTTTAAACAATTTCATACGTTTCATGCATAAGAATGTACAATACTGACAGGTTAAAAGAATCTCTTCAGTCTTGGTCAGAGCAGGCCACCAGGCACTTAATTATTTGGCAGTGCTGATGGTAATTTGTAAGAAATGAATGGCCTTATTCATGAAAATTAATGAAACACAGACTGTTGACAAATTAAAAAGCAGCGAATTTAAAATGAAGAAAATGAGACATGTCTTTATGTAAAAGGCAATAGTGTCTGTATTACTCAAGATGTGCAGCTGTGTTCCTGAAGCTGATGACCAACTGCGACTGTTTAAAAAATGCCTGACATTAGATCAGTGGGTCAATCAACTACCACTGACCGAATAAGTATGGTGATCTGGTGTGTTGCCAAATAGCATGATTTCAGGTTCATTAACTACTGTATATGCTGACGTGATGGCTGAACTACTGTAGTTGGCATAATTACATTTTTTATTACATTTATAATATTTATAATTTATAACATTTTAGTTCCTTTTGAAAACAGTATTAGATAAAGCAAATACAAAAAATACATACAAATGTATATGAGCACTAATCAGACACATTTGAAGACAAAAGAGATAATTCACCATGCTGTCGTCACGGGATCTGTATCAGCACAATGGAATATAGAAGATCTTGTTAAATCCATCCATCTTTAGCTGCGTCTTCTAATTCAGGATGGCACAGGAGCCATCTATCCCATCAAGTAATGGGCGCAGGATGATGTTTACCTTGGACTGAACGCCAGTCCATTGCTGGGCACACACCAACACAGGCACACTTACACCATGGCTAATTTTACCATAAACCAATTGACGTACTATACCAGCCTGTGGGAGGTACTGTAACTATAGCACCTGGAGGAAACCCATATGAACACAGGGAGAAAATACAAACTCCACACAGACAGCACCCCAGGTCTAGCAGCTAAGTGACGTCAACCAGCCAATTCAGGAAGGAAGCCAAGGTATCTTGTTCCATACATGGTAGCTTGTTATACACTCTCACAACCCGCCTTGTAAACATTTTTTTCTTGCATATTTTCTCAGTTTAAAATGCATTTCCCAGAGTTTTCCATTCTGTCCACTTGTTCGTTTTTCACGGTTGATCCTGGCGCCCACTGGCCTGTCAATGCCATTGCCTTTGAGCTTGTTCAATACTTGAACCAGATCCCCTCATAACCTTCTCTGCTCAAGGCTAAAAATATTCAGTCCTGTTAGCCTGTCACAATAAGACAATCCTTTTAAGCCCTGGAATGGTTCCCGAGCAAAAATCAATACATTTTTTGTCATGTGGTGACCACAATTGTATACAATATTCCAAATGAAGTCTAATTGGTGCATTGCACATTTCTAACAATAATGTCCCATTATTCAAATTCTACACTTTCAAATAGTAATGCTAAAATTCTGTTTTCCTTTTATTTCTTCCCTACATCCCTCCATCCATTTTCTAACTGCTTCTTCCAACGCAGGGTCGCAGGGGAGCCGGAGCCTATCCCAGCAAGCAACAGGCCCAAGGCAGGATACGCTCTGGACAGGACACCAGTCCATTACAGAGCAGACAGACGCAAACACACACACACACACACTCGTTAGAAGCCAGCATGTTTTTGAACTGTAGGAGGAAACCAGAACATTCTGAAGAAACCCATGTGAACACAGGAAGAACATACAAACTCCACACAGACAGCACCCCAGGTCCAGAACTGAACCCAGACCACCAGGCCTTCCTACTGTATTGTACTGTATATGGATCGTACAGTTCAATACATAAACAAATCTAGCACTCCGAGGCAGCAATGCTCACTATTCTCATTTCAATTTCATACAGTAGGTTGTATTCAACTAGAATGCTGTGTAAAAGCAAGAATTTTGTATTTAACTCTTGATAGGTGCATGCGCGCAAAACACTGAAAATTCCCACCCCTCTTTTTCCTGCTAATATACTGTGCAGCTGTTACTGCTGTTACCTTTGTGTAACATTTGTGACGCTTTCCTTCTAGAGCTGTGCTCAAAAGACTTATTCGACAATACTTTTCCTTCTCCTATTATACGGTTTGTAAGTTCTTAACTGGAGGTTCAGGATGGATAACAAGAAGTCAAAATCTCGCCCTGCTTTTCCCAATCACAATCACTCCGGAAATGTGCTTTATATATTGAACACAACCCCTCCCATCCCATTAATCGCAAGATACTCTCTTGCGCCCCATCTCTGCCTCCTGCCTCCTGCCTCCTGCCTCGGTTCACGCCTGCTGGTCCTGTGGATAGCTGCCCATTTACCAGGCGGGTTAAGCCAAAACCTACAACAGTGTCTCACCACCAGATAATTCAAAAATTCACAGAGCGTTAAATTCCCGGGTGTTGTTGCTGCTGTGGTTCTTGTTGTTGTCCCCAGTGAAACAGTATTTTAAAGGGAAGCCGAATTCAGCCACCCTCTGACAAAGCTCCTCTGTAACATGTTAGCAGGTGTAGTGTAAAAGGACTCGCACGTGCGCCGGCACCGTGAGAACGGGCTTGTGTACAGCTTTAAGATTCTCTGACGTCACCCCGATGCAGGTTTCTGCGATGAAGTGCTCATGAAAAAGGACTGAATTCTTGTCTGTCTGAGCGGAGGAGATGGGTCTGGTCTGCGTGTGAGGAAAAAACAGGGGAGCAGTATCGGGCACCCAGGCGGAGGAGAATGTGACGGCAAATAATCGAGGCAGGGGAGCGCACTCGGGACCGAGGAACCACGGCAGCACAGACTGCGATGCGGAGATTCCTGAGAGATCGAGCGGACAGGCACGGCATCCAGTGAGCAGAGCAGAGCAGACCGGCGAGCATCATGATTCATTTCGGTGCTGATGTGCACATCCAGGGAGCAAACAAGCCGGCGAACGGCAAGCGAAGCGAGCGGTCGAAGGATCTATAAAAGCAAAACAGCAGCCAGAGAACACAGCGCTACATCACGGTAGCAGACTCCTGTTGAGACTCGCACTCTTTTTTTTTATTCCGATTTTTTTTTTAAATATCAGGGAGGCGGACGATCGCAAGAGGAATATGTATGAGATCTGAAAAAAAAAACAACAAAACAAAACAAGGGAGCTCTATATCCACGTAGCTCCCTTTTTCTGTGTGTTCACGTCCAATTTTCCCCGGTAGGTTTTAAGGCAATTGCTGATTAAAAAGGGAGGCGAGGGGTGTTGTCGGGAAACGGCCGAGAAAGAAGAAGGGTTGCTTTTTGGGGGGGGGGAGAGAATGAATTGATGCGCTAATGGAGACGCGTTGGTGAAGAATATTCTAACAGGGGATGGTGGTATTCTGAAACCGAGGTGGAAGCGAATGCCTTTTCATCGAAAACACTGGATCCCTGCAGCCCCTAGTGGAGTCCCGGGATTTTCAGGGTAAGCAGATTTTGTATGAATATTTCGGAAATTGAAAACATTTGGATGCTTATTTGACTTTTTTTTTTTTTGCTCGAGTGTTCGTGCGTTTGCTCCAGCCGTGAGCAGCAATTCGGGCTTTCCGCTGAAAGGAAGCCGTGTGCTTGATCAAAAACTGTGATTTGTACGTCCGAACTATCCGTCCTAAAACCGTGTGCTTGCTGGCTCTGTAGATAGGAAGCGTCGCTGTACAGTGATACGGTGACAGATGCACCCAATTTGGAAGATGTCGTAAGCTTTCGTGGACGCGCTATCTTATCAGTTTAGTGGAACGTCGAGGTGGGCTTGGAGTGGATTTCAAGATCGCTTTCTAACTGCGGAGACATGTTTGTCTTTTCTGTTCCGATTTTGAGTCCGTTTTTGTTATTTTCAGCACCCCGTCTCGTCACCCCTTCGGGCGGTTTTCTCGCGCGGTTTTAAAAATTTAATTTGTCCCCTTCCCATCCGGAGCGTTCTTGTTTTCAATATTTAATTGGATTTTAATTGCGGTGGGTGTGGGTGGAAGTGTGTGCGCGCGCTACGGACGGAACTCCCCCTGCCATCGCGGGTGCCGTAATCTCCTGTAATCCTCCGGGTACCTGGAAACGAGAGCAGAGAAGTACAGAAGCCCCGATTGTGCATGCATCCTCAAATATCCACACTTATGCGCAAGCAGTGTTGTACACGACCGTCCTTGGGTGGGTAGCTCAAATGAAAACAGTACGCACAACTGGTACTGTAGCATGGAGAACACGAGTATTGTATCGCTCTAAACGCACTTTGCAGATTTTGAAAACAGACTTATAATTGAATGAAGAACGGTCAAAGGTAAAAACCTAGGTCTGCAGTGTGATTCAGGAAGCACCGCGTCTAGATTGTCTCGCCGGACTAAAATACAACTGTGAAGCCAGTAGACAGGAGTACCTATTAGAGTTCTTATGTTATGATGTTAGCGCTCTGACACGCCTCCCGCGACGTAATTGGTGTCTTCACTGTAGTGGACAGCTCCCGTCTGGAGCTGTGCTGCGTGCATTTGATAGATCTTTGCGTAGGGTGAAGAGAAACGTTGTTTTTTTTTTTTTGTTTTTTTTTTGTCTGAATTACAGGTGTTTGGTCGAGACATGGAAGAATTTGGGCATTTGGGGATTTCCGCATTCGGGAATTATTTTATACTGTTCATGAAAAAAGCACATTTCCGTGTGTGCTTCGATGCTTCTTACATTTGCTGATCTTTGTAATAAATAGTAGGACATAACTATACATCTGCAGAAATCTACACAGCATGCCCTGCTAAGGAATATTTTATATCGCTCTATACAGTATATTTGTGTCTGGACTGCTCTGCCTGTGTCGCACCGCAATTCGGTTGTGGTGCCCCCAACTTTTACGCTTAACAAAAAAAACATTTCACAGATCAGAGATGAAGCGTAATGGGAAAATACTATTCTATATTTTTTAATTGACTTCCCTGTACAGTTTTTAAGACACAAAAGGGATCACTCAGTTCTATTCCCCGTAGTGCAATTTATTTAATAGGCTACAATTTTTTACTGAATAGTTCTCTTCATGACAAACGAAAGACTTGTTCCGACAAATGCTTGCTCATTACTCATGAATGTCATTTAGTGCCTTGACGAACCCTAACAGCTGCGCCTAGTATAGATACCATGGGAATCAGGCAGCATTTTGTTTCTACGTGCTTTTTACGTACAAGACTTGGGGATTCCATTAAATCGTATTAGGAGACTATTTCTGGTACTCTTACAAAAACTTCCCGCGGTAAATTTGAACGCAGAACCACCCCCGAGTTTAACGCGCTGTCACTGTGCACTGCCAGGATTTCGCTGGGCTGTACTGCAATCTAACAAGCACTCGCCGACCACAGTCACCTTTTATAGGGTGCTCAGACGACCCAGCATGGCAATTGCCTTAGATGTTAGATCCGTATTTACTCCTGCTCGTTGAACTACCGGCTCTCATCACAGTAAATGAATCTCACCTGTTGGCCGTTAACCGTGAGGAGATATTTACGGGCAAACAGGTGAACCGGTTTCGCGAGAATCATTTACGAAACCCGCATCAAGAGTGATCCCGAGAAGCATCCTAACCTGAAAGCCTACTCCTGCAATCATCTCTGTGTCTGGACGTCTGTAACGGAGCTTCTCCCAAACTGCGACCTCTTCCCGCCTACTGTCGATCAGCTTCTGGACTTCCTGACAATAGATTCTAGGACATCAAGGAATTGTGTTCTTCCGAAGTTTTTCTTTTTTTTTAAATCCCGTTTTTCTGACTGCGCAAAAGAATAAAATGCCTTAAGTAGATGGTGTTGGTTCACCAGTCAAATGTCATTCTCTTCATGCATCTCATTGGAATCTGCCTATTTTCTACTGTATACTGTCTAATCTATCTGGGGGCAATCTGAAATACGTCCTTGTTTGAATATGAGACTAAAAGGATGACACGGTGAGAATCGATTGAATGTTTACCCCCCTGACAACAAAAGGTGTGAAGGTTGGGTTTGAGGCTTTTCCTCAAACCCCATTACATAATTTACTTGGTTAGCAGTTTCGGACTGATTGGACATCCACTCAGGTGACTCGCACTGTTGGAGCCCCCCCTGCTGGACGGAGTGAGCCAAGTCGCCGCTGCAATGGTGAAGATGTGGGGGAGGGAGGAATGTGAAATAGTGAATATTGCAATTGCCATATAGGAATGTGCCTCGAGAGGCGTGGCTTTTCTTGTGGTTAGATATCTTTCTCTTCTAAGCTTCCCCCTGCCCCAGAGGGTGACTTGGATCTGACAGGCTATTTGACAGGACATCGGGAATCAATGAAGCAGGATCGGCTGTGCCTCCTGCTCCAGACATTATAAGTAGAACACCATTGGAGTCTGTGTCTGCCCTGCGGTGGACCGGTGCCCTACCTTGCGCCTGTTGCTTGCTGGGATAGGCATCAGCTCCCACTTCTCCCCTGCAACCCTAAATTGAATGAAGTGGCTCGAAAGTGGTTGGTTTGATTGGATAACTTTAGCATTTTTAACAGCACTGCAAATCTCTCAATGTGTGTGTTTCCAATCAGAGGTGGGACACAACTGTTTACCTTCGAGTGGGGGTACTTCACTAATGTCCAGTGGTGTACATTACTACAAAATTAAGTGGATAAAAGTGTCTGCCAGATACAGTACATTCATAATAATAACAATAAAAGATACTTCACATGAAATGTTTGCATTAATTATACAGAAGGCTATTCATCCCATCTTTTTAGTTTAATGGATAGTGGCTAATTGATCCCAAAATCATATTGCCCTTACTTTGAAGGCTCCCAGAATACTCCAGATGAGTATTCCCAACAAGCAGAAATGATATGAGACGATCTCCATTTAGGAGCCTGCGGGGATACTGCATGTTGGAGGCATTGATTTTAGTGGTGTTTATTTCAAGTGGAAGGCGATCTAGTTAAGCATCCATACCCCAGTGAGCTGGTATTTAAATGATCCATGTCAAAATTAAAACAAACACCGAACTCAAATTGAGTGAAATAACTGCCTCAGACCCTCAGCACAAAGAACGGAGGTCAGGATGTTGTGTTACACTTGAAGTATTGAAAACAACATTAGACACGGCAGAGGAGCCTATGAATTTTAAAAAACGCAGGAAACCTCACCATATCTGAACAGTGACTTCACAGTGAAGAAAGAACCCTATGCACTAATCATCACTGAACATCTGAGTTTAAGGACCTATGTATCTTATAATATTATGATAATTGATGAAGAGATGCTCCAATCTGTTATATTTTAAAGATGTAATATTAAGGTGCTTTTCTTTTTTAACTACTTCTTCCAGTTCAGGGTCATATGGGAGATGGAGCTGGAGATCTCAAAAAGCAACAGGCGCAAGGTGGGGTACCTTATTTTTTTTTTGAGGGGGGGGGGGAATTATTTTGTTGATTTTAAAGAAGTAATCCCTATCACAAGTAATCTGTAACTAGAATGGATTACATTTTAAAGTAATTCCCTAGCAGCAGTTAATAGAGAACGTATTTTGTATTTTTATAGGTATAGATAATAAATGTATTTTGTACAGTGGTAGGAGAGTTATAAAGCGATTATCTTTAAATGATATGTCCAAACATTCGGACCTTGATGGCTGGAATAAGCTGTAGGGGTATTAAGCCATACTTGCTTACATTAAGGTTTTGAATTTATCTATACTAAATAAGGGCAGCATGGCCACTTTGGGATCTAAGAAGATCAGAATACAGACAATAAGCAAGGTCATGCTTGGACAGTCCTGAAATAGAAGATCTCCAAGGAAACCCAGTAAACGGGATGCTGCTGTAAATGGGATGACCAGTAGGTGGCACTCTTCCATCTGGACCGTAATTTCCAAACCAAAGCCACAGCATGGTGACAGAGGACACTGATGTTCTAAAATAAATTTCAGCAGCATAACCACCCTGTAACCCGATCTTAATGGACCTTAGCAATTAAGCAAGGCTGCACCTGGTCACTATTGGGACAGAATGGAAGACCATTAAGAAAAGGTAGCTTGTGACAGGGGGCATTGTGCTGTAAGTAGGTGCCACTTTTTGGATGAGACTTTAAACAGAGCTACTAGCATCTTATAGTAGGTGTTAATCCCGTGTCCTGGCAAAAATCCACACTGGACTTTTCATAGTGTAGTTTCCATAAATATCCTCCTTAATTGAATTGGTAAAGTCATTTCTCACTTCTCTATGCAGTCTGCTAGTCTGTTGTATAGCTGGGCTGCTGGTGCATAATAAGTGCCACACATCACCCAGGGGGCTGCACTTCAGGGCCGGATGAAGTGGTTTCATAGTGCAGCACTATGGGATACTTCAGGAGGAAACGTGCTTTATAAAAGCAAGCTTTAGTTACTTAGTGTTATTGTTTAATTCCACTTGTTGTATTGTGCCGAAAGGCCAGGATAGAAACACATAATGTACTGTGGAGCTGAC